AATTCAGCTTTGCATCACAGAAATAAATTATATTTTAAAGTATATGAAAATAGTAGGGGTGCTCAGATCATGATTTTTGAGGCCGATCGCTGATCACAGAAAGCAGTATCTGCCGATACCGATCTCTTTAAAGCATTGTTTTTATAATTTATAACTATTTATAGTGATACTTCAATCAGGATTTTTAGACATTTATTCAGGGCCTGTGTTATTTAATGAAGAAATATGAAGGTACCTCACCTTCAGCATTATAATTACTTCACCTGCGCCGGACAGAGACTGAGACGGTGCCGCTGCATGTCGTGCCAAACCTCTCACGGAGGCGTCATCAGCTTGAGATCGTTTTTTTGAGATCGGCCTTTTAGAGACCGCCGATCAATCATCCCAACGTGATTATCGGCCGATTATGATCGGTAGCCGATCAATCGGAGCACCCCTAGAAAATAGAAACCATTGTTTTATATTGTAATAGCATTTTGTAAGATTACTGTTTTTTTTTTCTGTATTTTTGATCAAATAAATGCAGCCTTGATGAGCATAAGAGACGTCTTTAAAAAAACATTACAAGACCTACTGATCCCAAACTTTTGAGCGGTAGTGTATATTAATTTTTAAGTCACACCGGAAGTACTGGTGCCATATTTAGGGACCATAATACCATAAAGACTTTGTTTTCTTTTCACCCAGAACACTCTAAAATTATGGCGTGCATTTTCTTCAGACAAAAGCTGAAATTATGCACATTAAAACACTCAGTTCTCTCTGGTGTAATGTCTCGCTCTTCTTCCAGAAGCCCTTTTTTTTTCTCTTCACAGCTCTGCACACAGCTCATTTCTCCTATTTAAACTGAATACTAACCCTGATGAGTTAACCTCTATCAGAAGGCTAGCCAGCTCACTGCAAATGAACAACTGAGTCATTAAATGCTATAGAAATGTGCCCCGTGTCCCCTCTTCGCTAACAAGCTTATTAGATGCTAATCAGAAGTCAAAGTTGCGACGTTGTTTGGAATATTGAATTTAAACACACTTGGCCACATGACCCTTACAAGCGTGGCTGTGATTCACCTTCTTATCGAATTATTTCACATCTCTTGCTGTGCAGTAATGCCAAGTAATTTTTAAACATGCCATGTTCTCTTCAAAAGTGAGTACCATGCAGAACTGGAGAGGCCTGTTTACATACTGGCAGCTACCCACATGCTGTGACACCACGTGAACTTTCTGACAATTTGAATTGGAAAAACAAAGTTAGAATCAAATTAACATGCTGTATTGTCTTAGTTTTAAATATTAAAATAGTTGAAGAGAGAGTTCATCATGCTGTAATTTATCATTCTATCACCAGTATGGTTTTATTTTTTTCTTAAACCACAAACTATGGTGTTTAATTTTGTACACTACCATTCAAAAGTTTGGGGTCAGTGAGATTTTTATGCATTATACTGATCAAAAGTGAGAGTAAAGACATTTATAATGTTAAAAGAGTTCTATTTTAAATAAATGCAGTTCTTTTGAACTTCAGAGAATTCTGAAAAAACACTAAATTGTTCAAATATTTTCAAAATTGAAAATAAATGTTTCTTGAGCACCAAATCAGCATATTAGAATGATTTCTGGAAGGATCATATGACACTGAAGACTGGAGTAATGATGCTGAAAATTCAGCTTTGTCATCACAGAAATAAATTACATTTGAAAATGTATAAAAATAAAAATGTTACTTTATATTTTATTACTGTTTTTACTGTATTTTTGATCAAATAAATGTAGCTTTGGTGAGCAAAATAGTCTTTTTTTTTTTTTTTTTGGTGACCCCTTTTGAACGGTTACTGTAATTTTAATTGTGTGAAACAGAAGCAGAATCTAGATTACACTTTCAAGTTTTGTACTTCATTAGCTCTCTCTTTCTATCTTTTTCTCATATATCCAAACAGCCATTATTGAACATGTGCGTGATGGCTGCATAGTACGGGCGCTGCTTCTGCCCGACTACTATCTGGTGACAGTCATGCTGTCTGGAATCAAGGTGAGTTTCAGTCCTTCTCTATGTAATTCTATGAATAAAATAAACCCAATTTCTTTCAGCAGAACCCTTGAGACCAATATTTCTCAGTTTCTCATTAGTTCATTTCTATGTATCTCTTGATGGGTAGCCTTGAGAGACTCCCTCTAGGTTTTCTTAGACCAGACCTGTTCCATGAATTCAGTAGACCATCTTACTGCTTAATCTTACTAATAATGAAAAAATTAACTCCATAACTGTGCTAAATTAAGTGTGTTAGTGGTAGAACTAGAGTTTTCACTCAGTGACTTTTCAGGAAAGGGTTTACATTCTTTGTAAAGGATGATTGTGATTTGTTTTCTGGGGTTTGTTTCTTAGTATTTCCCAGTAGATTTCAGGCAATGTATATTTCGTGTAATGTTTATGAAAAATCTGTGTCTCCAGTGCCCTACGTTTAAACGGGAGGCAGATGGCAGCGAGACCCCTGAGCCTTTTTCAGCAGAGGCAAAGTTCTTCACGGAGTCACGACTTCTTCAGAGAGATGTGCAGATCATTTTGGAGTCCTGTCCCAACCAAGTCATTCTGGGGACCATCTTGCATCCGGTATGAAGCCACATCATTCCAGACCAGCTTTCTGTTTGATCTCTAATAACTGCAGTTGAACAAAAGTGTAAACCATGTGAGTTTTTGAGTGCTCCTCCTAATTCAGATTTAGGCTAGAGCAATTTAGTCTTGATCCAAAATCTTAAAGTGCATGAGATGGACTTTCTCGGTTGGAAAACCTGGAAAGCAAGCAATACAGAGAGAGGAGTTTTTGTTTGCTTTTATGTTTTGCTTTGCTTTTTTGTTTTTGTTTTGTTTCGGTCGCATCGAGTACGATAGCCTGCAGTTTGTCTATAGACCCTTTTAGTGCTGACGTCACAATTACGTCACAGCGCTAGCTGGAGGCAAAACAAAGGGAAAACTGGAGGCGACCAATTCAAGCCAGTAGAGATTCGGCTATATAAGGAGCTTAAAAAATCATCTTGTTGTGATGTTGGGTGCCAGAATCGACGGAGTACAGGCTCCAATTTGAAATTTGATCACATACCTGCTGCCATTGCCAGACAAAAAACCGACGACAGCTGTAGTTAAACGTCAAATAACAATCGCTGTCACGGACAGTGAGTGACCTTACATATTCAGCTAAAATTGGATTTTCATTGTTAAAAAAACAAGCTAACAAAACGTCATAGCTAGAGTTAGTGAAGCGGTCAGGGGAATCTTTCTGCCTCCACCTAAGCTCTGCCCACAGAAAAACGTCACATTGTTTATTAACTGAAAAGGGGTCTGTTACTTATTGTTTTTCGAACAATACCTGATATAAATAAATCGTCACTATCATTGTTTAAAGTTTTCAGCCAGCATGCACCGTTTTTATCATTCCACAACGACAGTGACTATCAAAATGTATATACCTAAGGGAAAGGAAGCATACCAGGTTTGATACCACAACAGAAATAATGCAAATTTATTTAAGTGAACATTGTTCCCTCAAACAGTTATTCGAGACAAGTAAATGGTTAGTTAGAAAATTTAAGAACCAAGCTGTATATTACAAGCTGTAGAACAAAGTAAAAATAGATCACAGAACAATAAATCAAAGATGTAAATGAAGTAAACAGTGCGGAGATATTTAACAACAATATTAAGCATTCAAATAAACTTTCAAAAAACTGAAAGACTGAAATACTGGTACTTTTGGCATCCCTAGTCTGTATAATTCAGTAAACACCAAGGCTGTAATGCATGCTGTGGCAATGTGGGAGGATCTACAGGTCCAGACTTTAATATATTATGCACATGTTTGTTGTACAGGCCCTTCAGTGCCAAGAATCATTGATAAATTTAATTAATTCACTGCGAAACCGCAGGTATAAAGCCTCCTTGTGTCAAAGTTCTTGCTAATCAGAGTGTCAGACATAATCCGTGTCATAATCCGTGTGAGGATATTTTGCTCATGAACAATGTTATACACATTAACCTTAGTGGTCTCTTTCTGTTGATAATGCCAGCAAAGCTTCACACTGTCAGTCTGTAGGTTTCCTCCCCTCCTCTTTCTCTTTTCTCAGTTTCTTATAAAGAGGGAAAACTGGAGGCGACCAATTCAAGCCAGTAGAGATTCGGCTATATAAGGAGCTTAAAAAATCATCTTGTTGTGATGTTGGGTGCCAGAATCGACGGAGTACAGGCTCCAATTTGAAATTTGATCACATACCTGCTGCCATTGCCAGACAAAAAACCGACGACAGCTGTAGTTAAACGTCAAATAACAATCGCTGTCACGGACAGTGAGTGACCTTACATATTCAGCTAAAATTGGATTTTCATTGTTAAAAAAACAAGCTAACAAAACGTCATAGCTAGAGTTAGTGAAGCGGTCAGGGGAATCTTTCTGCCTCCACCTAAGCTCTGCCCACAGAAAAACGTCACATTGTTTATTAACTGAAAAGGGGTCTGTTACTTATTGTTTTTCGAACAATACCTGATATAAATAAATCGTCACTATCATTGTTTAAAGTTTTCAGCCAGCATGCACCGTTTTTATCATTCCACAACGACAGTGACTATCAAAATGTATATACCTAAGGGAAAGGAAGCATACCAGGTTTGATACCACAACAGAAATAATGCAAATTTATTTAAGTGAACATTGTTCCCTCAAACAGTTATTCGAGACAAGTAAATGGTTAGTTAGAAAATTTAAGAACCAAGCTGTATATTACAAGCTGTAGAACAAAGTAAAAATAGATCACAGAACAATAAATCAAAGATGTAAATGAAGTAAACAGTGCGGAGATATTTAACAACAATATTAAGCATTCAAATAAACTTTAAAAAAACTGAAAGACTGAAATACTGGTACTTTTGGCATCCCTAGTCTGTATAATTCAGTAAACACCAAGGCTGTAATGCATGCTGTGGCAATGTGGGAGGATCTACAGGTCCAGACTTTAATATATTATGCACATGTTTGTTGTACAGGCCCTTCAGTGCCAAGAATCATTGATAAATTTAATTAATTCACTGCGAAACCGCAGGTATAAAGCCTCCTTGTGTCAAAGTTCTTGCTAATCAGAGTGTCAGACATAATCCGTGTCATAATCCGTGTGAGGATATTTTGCTCATGAACAATGTTATACACATTAACCTTAGTGGTCTCTTTCTGTTGATAATGCCAGCAAAGCTTCACACTGTCAGTCTGTAGGTTTCCTCCCCTCCTCTTTCTCTTTTCTCAGTTTCTTATAAAGTTCATAAGCTAACATGATATCCTAACATGTTTGTTTGTGTGGTCATTACAGAATGGGAACATCACAGAGTTGCTGTTGAAGGAAGGCTTTGCACGTTGTGTGGACTGGTCCATGGCTGTGTACACCCAGGGTGCTGAGAAACTCAGAGCAGCAGAACGGTCAGTGCTTGTCAGTTGGACAGTCGTCAGCCCTAGTTCACTATTAATTTCAAATAAGCCTGACTTTTGGGCTGTTGGATCAGACTGAGCAGCTTTTTAAATGGTTTAGACTGTCGCGGGTTGCTCTTACTTCATGTTTCAGCAGAATAGTTTAGCAAATGTGGCAACTTATCACATAGCCGTTCAAGAACACCTGCCCTGATGCCCACCTGCTGGCTTACTGAAGCATTAGACACAATCACAATGAAATATGATAGGAGCACACAAGGTTGTGTCTTTAATCCAATTAAGTACATATGTGGCTGTCCTTTATGCTGTGCTTTATTTTGGTGAAATGCCTTATCTCTCTCCCCCAAACCCTGCAGATCAGCGAAAGAGCGTAAAGTGAGAATCTGGAAGGACTATGTAGCTCCCACAGCCAATCTGGACCAGAAGGACAGACAGTTTGTAGCAAAGGTGAATTTTTGTTCACTCACATATTCTGTTTCAATCTGTGCAGCCTTTATGGTGATACAAGGGTCAATAACATGATGATTATTTATCCAGCTTAATTCCTTCATTCTAAAATAAATTAAATAAAAATAATGAAAGCCAAAACGAATGCAGAAAGTCTCATTAAAAGCCCTATTTCTTTTGATAATCTGTTACATTGAAATGTATGTCATAATATGGAAGAAATTATCTGTTGCTACTTCTGTTTAGTTACAACATTAAAATATTATAAATAACCAAAAATAAAACAAATCAAAGTAATGAGGAGCAAACGGCAACAAAAATTCTCAAAACAGGAAATTCGGTCATAGAGTGGACCCCTGTGGACCCTCATGAGTAAACTTTTTTTTTTTTTGGTAATTAAGATGTGTACATTCACATATATTTAGGTTTTTAAAAGAAAAAAAAAACATTTTATTTAATGGCTCCACCACATGACATTTTTGAGTTATGAAATTAAAAGGATTTATGTGTTTCTAAACCATATGAAACCAACATGAATACCAAGAGGAAACATTTAAGGATTTGGTACACTCTCAGAAATAAAGGTACAACAGCTGTCACTGGGGCGGTACCTTTTCAAAAGGTACGTATTTGAACCTAAAGGGTCCATTTTGGTACCTTAAAGGTGCATATTAGTACTTAAATTGTACATATTAGACCCTAATAGGTACAAAACAAAAGTGTACCTTTTGAAAAGGTACCACCCCTGTGACAGCTGTTGTACCTTTATTTCTGAGAGTGTACGTTGAAACTTTTTGTTTATTCTTTACCTGTTCTTGCCATTGACCCACAAAACAGAAATCTGAACCGTCACACCACTAATTTCTTGTATAGATGGTGTTGCAGTTCTGAACTCTTCAAAAGTGCTTCTGATGTTTCTCACTGAAGGTCAATAAAACATGTTGATCTAAACTCAGCCCTCAAGCCCTTCGGCCAAACCCTTGATCTCTAGACATAGGGTTGTTTCACTTAGAACATCTAAAAATAACATAAGGAGAAGTCGGCAGAGTTTAGGTCAACGCTTCCACACCAGCATGACAAAGCGTGACATTTCACCAGCTCCCAGCATGATAACAAATGACCGTCTCCACTCTGTCTCCTCTTCAAACCCCTTTATCATGGGGCCTTCTGAAGAATATTGGAGCACCGCAGTCTCTTAAAGTGCTGACTGCGGTTGACGTACTCGTCTCCCTGATGCCTTGTTCTCTATTGTGTCTGTCAGCGAGGCAGGCCTTTCAGGTCTCAGGTTTTCATTTCATTTTGCATACTCTGTAAAGTCAGCCTTGGGCCGTCTCAGCGGTTCTGTTCAGCTGCAGTCTTCAGCGCTCCCCCTAAATTACCACTGAATATCTGCTTTCACGTCCCTGGCCTAGAATGCACGAGGAAAGAATAAGACAATGATAACTTTATGGGTTATTTGCTTTTCTCGCATGTTAAAACAGTTGAGTCTGAAAGAGACATAAGATTGAACATGAAATCAAAATTGACCTGCTTTTCTTTCTTAATTCTCTAATGTTCAAAAGTTTGGGGTCGGTAAGATTTTTTTCTTTTTTTTTTTTCTTTTTCAAGTATTCTTGAAATAAATCTCATATGTTGACTTTAAGATTAAAGGGGTCATATGACGTTGCTAAAAAGAACATTATTTTGTGTATTTGGTGTAATGCAATGTGTTTATGCGGTTTAAGGTTAAAAAAAACACATTATTTTCCATATAATGTACATTATTGTTTCTCCTCTATGCCCCGCCTTTCTGAAACTTCTGCTGTAAATACAACTTAACCACTAATTTCTAGTTGTGTCCTCTTTTGGAAGGCCAAACAAAGTAGTTTCGCTTTCACAACGAAACACACAGCGACTCCACAACATGGCAGTGGCGGCAACAGCAAGAATTAAAGTTACGCCTTCTTTTTTTGCGTGAACATTTGGGCGGAGTTATGCTAATCTTTCCACATCGTGACGTAGACATGTGGGGGCGTGTTAGAACGAGCCGTTTTAGGTAGGAATGGTTGACTCTTAACTTTTATAAAGAATATCTCTTTGGATTTGAGACTTTAGTCTTTGCAACTTTACAGATCTTCTTTATGCACCAAGAGCTTGTAACACTCCAAATAGAAAAGAAAAATTTTATTCGCACCATATGACCCCTTTAAAGAAGAATGTGTTAGGCTACTTTTTGCAGTGGCTGTGCTGCTGATATTACCACATCAATAAGGTTTGTTAACTTTGTTTAAACTGCTGCCGCCTGGTCTTAATTGATATGTTGACACTGTGTGCTCTCTCTCTCCTAAGACAGCAACTGTGCTTTTGCAGAAAGTTTCTTTATTTTATAAGTAAGGTTGTTTCACTGAACTTCAAGACCTTTAAAATATTCATGCTTGGCCTTTGGTTATGTAAAGGTGTTGCACTGCAATCTGCTTACAGAATTAGTTTCAAAATCCGCAGACACAAAAGTGTGTTTTTGCCTGAGTCAGAAAATACCAGAAGTGAAGAATAAAACATTTATATGAGCTTTAGCTTGCCTCAGATCTCTCTGAGCCGGGAGAGAAAGAAGATATACTTTGAAATTGTGCGCGTGTGTGTGTTTAAGTGAGTGTGTGTGTGAGAGAGAGACTCAACAGAAAAAGCTACTGACAAAGGCAGAATGGCAAGTGTTTGTAAGCTGTTTCTGTGTCCTGGCATACAGGACACATCTAGCTGTTTTAATTGGTTTGCATTTCCTGTCATTCAAATGTATTCAGAAAGAGTTTGCCATTAATAATAATAATAATAATGGTAGTAATAATAATAATAATAATAATAACATTTTAAATTATATTTCAACTGGCTGCTTTGTGTGTGCAAAGTGAATCAATTTTAATTAATTTAAAGATTATTCAAGTTTATTTAATTTAAAGATGATTTGGAAACTATAAACTTGATCTGTAAGTAGATCTGTTTACAAAAATTAAAATTTTACAAAAATATACAATGTAAATAGCATGGTATATACACTACTGTTGAAAAGTTTGTGCTCAGGAAGATTTTTTTCGTTGTTGAAAAAGTAATACTTTTATTTAGCAAGGAAGCAATAAATTTATCAAAAGTGTGAGACGTATAATGTTGCAAAAGGTTTATATTTCAAATAAATGCTGTTCCTTTGAACTTGCTATATATCAAAGAATCCTGATAAAAATGTATTATTGTTTCCAAGAATTACACTGTGCAGTTTTTGACATTGATAATAAGAAATGTTTCTTAAGCGCCAAATCAGCATATTTGAATGATTTGTTGCTAAAAAGAACATTATTTTGTGTATTTGGTGTAATGCAATGTGTTTATGCGGTTTAAGGTTAAAAAAAACACATTATTTTCCATATAATGTACATTATTGTTTCTCCTCTATGCCCCGCCTTTCTGAAACTTCTGCTGTAAATACAACTTAACCACTAATTTCTAGTTGTGTCCTCTTTTGGAAGGCCAAACAAAGTAGTTTCGCTTTCACAACGAAACACACAGCGACTCCACAACATGGCAGTGGCGGCAACAGCAAGAATTAAAGTTACGCCTTCTTTTTTTGCGTGAACATTTGGGCGGAGTTATGCTAATCTTTCCACATCGTGACGTAGACATGTGGGGGCGTGTTAGAACGAGCCGTTTTAGGTAGGAATGGTTGACTCTTAACTTTTATAAAGAATATCTCTTTGGATTTGAGACTTTAGTCTTTGCAACTTTACAGATCTTCTTTATGCACCAAGAGCTTGTAACACTCCAAAGAGAAAAGAAAAATTTTAATCGCACCATATGACCCCTTTAAAGAAGAATGTGTTAGGTTACTTTTTGCAGTGGCTGTGCTGCTGATATTACCACATCAATAAGGTTTGTTAACTTTGTTTAAACTGCTGCCGCCTGGTCTTAATTGATATGTTGACACTGTGTGCTCTCTCTCTCCTAAGACAGCAACTGTGCTTTTGCAGAAAGTTTCTTTATTTTATAAGTAAGGTTGTTTCACTGAACTTCAAGACCTTTAAAATATTCATGCTTGGCCTTTGGTTATGTAAAGGTGTTGCACTGCAATCTGCTTACAGAATTAGTTTCAAAATCCGCAGACACAAAAGTGTGTTTTTGCCTGAGTCAGAAAATACCAGAAGTGAAGAATAAAACATTTATATGAGCTTTAGCTTGCCTCAGATCTCTCTGAGCCGGGAGAGAAAGAAGATATACTTTGAAATTGTGCGCGAGTGTGTTTAAGTGAGTGTGTGTGTGTGTGTGTGTGTGTGTGTGTGTGAGAGAGAGAGAGACTCATGAGAAAAAGCTACCGACAAAGGCAGAATGGCAAGTATTTGTAAGCTGTTTCTCCGTCCTGGCATACAGGTCTAGCTGTTTTAATTGGTTTGCATTTTCTGTCCTTCACATGTGTTCAAAAAGAGTTTGCCTATAATAAAAACTTAGTTTATTTTAATTTAAAGATGATTGGAAACTATAAACTTGATCTGTAAGTAGATCTGTTTACAAAAATTAAAATTTTACAAAAATATACAATGTAAATAGCATGGTATATACACTACTGTTGAAAAGTTTGTGCTCAGGAAGATTTTTTTCGTTGTTGAAAAAGTAATACTTTTATTTAGCAAGGAAGCAATAAATTTATCAAAAGTGTGAGACGTATAATGTTGCAAAAGGTTTATATTTCAAATAAATGCTGTTCCTTTGAACTTGCTATATATCAAAGAATCCTGATAAAAATGTATTATTGTTTCCAAGAATTACACTGTGCAGTTTTTGACATTGATAATAAGAAATGTTTCTTAAGCGCCAAATCAGCATATTTGAATGATTTCTAAAGAATCATGTTAGGAAATGGTTGCTGAAAATTCAGCTTTGTCGTCACAGGAATAAATAGCATTTTAAAATATTTTAAAGAAAATGGTTATTCTAATTGTAATAACATTATTACATGATTAATTTTTTTTTTTCTGATTTGA